GATTTACAACACATAGTATTTATTTGGACTAATATATTTATAAATTTAATATAATTCTAATCATTTTATAAACTTATATTAATAAATTTTAAATGATTACAATATGATTTGAGTTTTTTTTATAATATATGTCTAATTGAGGTTTCTTACTTTGTCTTACTACTAATTGTGACACTCCAATTTCATGACCTCCAAGTGAATGCATCGAGATAATAATATAAGAAGTTAATAAAATAAACTTTATTTATAAGTAAACAAATAAGCTTGTAAAGCAAAAAGAAAAAGATAACAACTCTAAATTAAATTTCTCGATAGTGTTAAAAGTTCATTTTTGTTGGTAGAATAATGTTAGAAGATCAAAAGATTGCATGAGATTAATCCTCTTGCAAATCGTGGTGAAATATTAATGTTTCTTCAATTAAAAGCATGAGAGGAGATTATTTACTTTTTGTTCCAAAAATGGTGTAAGATTAACTTTGAGTGAAAGGAATACAAAACCTTTCCATTTTTTTACTTTGTCTTTTGAATCTCCTGATAATTATAATGAATGTGTTCAAAATATTATAGTAAGTTTTTATCCACAAGCACTTTAAACTAATTAGTTAATTATAAATATATAAAACTAAGGTGTAAAAAGTCTTATTATTTATATTTTGAAAATCAGGATATTTATGAACATAATTACTGTTTTTATATAGAATTTAATTTTCTCTTCATACATAACTTATCCACCAATAATCTAATGCTATATGTTTCACCTTCTTTCTTTTTTTTTTTTTTGAAAAAAAAACCCGGAAAAGGGCCTAAAATATCCTCGAAGTATTGAAAATGGTACACAACTACCCCTCATCCACCTATTGGCTCCAAAATACCCTCATCATCCACCTATTGGCTCACAAATACCCTCCCCATCCACCTTTGGGTCCAATTTTAGCCACTTCATTAACGGAGCACCATTTAAAATAATTAAATAATTCTTTTAATTACGTGGCGCTCAACCATTGGTTGTAATTTAATTATTTAATATAATTTTAAACCCACCCATTTTTAACTAAACCCGCCCCAATACTTATTAAACCCGCCCTAAAATATTGAGCATCAAAATATATTTTTGATGTCATGACATTAGAAATATCTTTCTAATGTCATGAATGAGCATCAAGAAAAGCTTAAACTTTATTAATTAATATAAATTATAAAAACAAACATTATATACATGACAAATATATTTTTTTTGTTCCTGTGGAGTCAATTATGAGTTGCTAACATAATGTATGTACAGTTCACATTTGTTGATTATCTGGAAAATTTTTTTATAATGGTGATAGAATTGTAGTCATATAAATCAAACAGGCAATCACTACGACAAATAAAGAATTTAACGATAATAATAAAAATTTTGTTATATTATATTTTTTACGGCAATAATATATACGTATATTCATAGCCAACATTCTATATAAATAACGCTAAAGACTTTAGCAACTTTGAATGCAATAATATTAACTCAATTTCCACTAAAAAAAATCTATTGTCCGTAAATATCTTCTTCTTTTTTTGTAGTGAACGAAGACAGAGGTGAATTCAGCTAAACTCAATAGCTTTAAATTTACATTTTGAATTTTTTATATAAATTTCTAACTCAGTATCTATACAATTTGTCACTCTAAAAGAATCTTGGATTTTCTTTGTGATCTGATTATTTTAGATTAATATAATGGTCACACTATGGTACATTTTAATACTTATTAAACCCGCCCGACCCAATACAAAAAGAACCCATGGGTTCGATCGAGTGGGTAATGGGTGGATTTAAAATTATATTTTAGGGCGGGTTTAATAAGTATTGGGGTGGGATTAGTTAAAAATGGGTGGGTAATGGGTGAGTTTAAAATTATATTAAATAATTAAATTGCAACCAATGGTTGAGCGCCACGTAATTAAAAGGATTATTTAATTATTTTAAATAGTGCTTCATTAATGAAGTGGCTAAAATTGGACTCAAAGGTGGATGGGGAGGGTATTTGTGAGCCAATAGGTGGATGGGGAGGATATTTTGGAGCCAATAGGTGGATGAGGTGTAGTTGTGTATCATTCTCAATACTTCGAGGGTATTTTAGGCCATTTTTTGGAAGAAAAAAAAGAGTAAACATTTTATCACATTCATCATTAAAGGTGAAAGTTAATTTATATGTAAAATTATAAGTACAAAGAACATAAAAAAGAGACAATTAGGCATTCATTTTTTGCTTTTGTCTCTATAATTAAAACTGAATATTTGAGCATGCAAAATAAAAATCTAAAATTAAAGCAAGTTGCTAATAAAACAACAATTCAACTATATGAAGAGAGATAGAAAAGTCTTACTATAATTCTAATTACTACAAATAAGTATAAAACTAACACATCAAGCTTCAATGCTTCGGTAATTAAATTCTTGTCTATTCTTATGACTGTATAAGGGGATCTCACAACTTTCACCACAAAATGTGACATTATTTCACCTATTTAGAGCTCCTACACACAAGAATTGTAGGAGTAGTAAATAAAAGTCTTTCTTGGAAAAGTTAAATTTATAGGACAAAAATTACGGAAACATGAAAAGTCATATGGAAAATTGAAAGGTAAAATACTATTAAAATAAATATAATGATTCTTTCTTTGTCTTTATAATAAATAACTAACAATTCAAATAATAATTATATTATTATTATTATTATTTTAATATTTAATTAATTAGATGTTTAATTAAACCTAGAGGTAAAATGGTGATGTAACTTTTCAATCTTTGGAGTTTCCCAAAAATTACGAAAACATGAAAAGTCACATGGAAAATTGAAAAGTCAAATACTATTAAAATAAATATAATGTTTCTTTAATTGTCTTTATAATAAATAACTAACAATTCAAATAATAATTAAAATATTATTATTTAATAATTTATTAATTAGATGTTTAATTTAGCCTAAGGGTAAAATGGTAATCTAATTTTTCATAGCTTTACACTTTTACTAATATATATATATATATATATATGATGATGACACCTCTTCAAATTCTTGACTTCAATATTAAACAGTAGAGTCTATTTAGAAGGAAAACTGTAGCTATTTCAGAAGAATTTTTTTTGGTTACATTGTTTTATCAATCATAACTTTTCAAATTCTTCTATTATGAGATTTATGATTATGATTAAAAGCAATATCAATGTGCTCATTTATCAAGAAAATAACAATTTAATTATTAAAGATCTTATGGGCTTCAAATTCTACCATTATGTGATTAAAATATTTGTATTTAATTAAATAATTAATCAAATTTTAATTTAATAAAGGGGCTAAATGGTAATTCAACTTTTTACTTTGGAGCTTCCCGTTTATAGTAATATATGATATATGATGATATGATATGATATTTTTTTTTTAAAAAAAAATCCTTTTCTTTTTCATTCCATTCCATTCCTCCATCTTTGTTCCTTGACCAACCATTATAAACCCCTTTTCTCCATTGATGTCAAGAAGCACCATTAAATACTTCAATATGTCCTAATATTTATACACAAATTTGCATAAACACACTCTATGTAATTTCACCAAGACATTCAATAATTATATCTTTATCCTCCAAAACTACCGGATTTTGGTCATCTTAACCCCATAAAAAAAATGGATAAGGGTCTGAAAAATATCCTAACTTTGGTCGGATTTGTTGTTGCGATACTAAACTTTCATAAGGACCTATTACCTCCCTAGACTATTTAATACCGTATTTTTTTACCCCCTGAACTATTTAATAGTATATTTTAAAGATATATATGTGCCCACGTGGACACATTACTATTTATAATTTTACATTATTTTTATGTCCATGTGGGCAAATATATATATTTAAAATACGGTATTAAATAGTCTAGGGAGGTAATAGGTTCTCATGAAAGTTTAGTATCGCAACAACAAATTCGACCAACGTTGGAGTATTTTTCATACCCTTATCCCAAAAAAAATAAAAGACAAATAAAAAAATATTTAGCACTTTGTTTATATAACTACAGGTAATAGTAGATTTAAAAATGGAGAACTGAAATTGCTAACAATTTTGAGTGCTTCAGATTTGTGTATTTTCTGATTTTTTTTCATTGCTCATTATGGTTCTCATATCTGGAGAGGAGTGGGGAAGGGGGAGAAAGTGAGAAATGGGGGATTAGCTGGGGAAGAAGGGGGAAGAATGTGGAGGACTGGGGGAAGAAGAAGAAGAAGTTAAAAAAAATTATTTTAAATGTTTTCTTGTCTTTTTTTTTATCTATTTTTCTTTTTCTTTTAGTTACTTTTAGTCTAAAAATTCTAGGTTTACGTGTTTTTTATGTGTGAAATCACGCATTTGTTCCAACTCAATAATAAGTTTTCACATGAGCTTGGTCAATAGTCAGAAGGATTTTAAATGCTGAATCGTATTGAGTTTAAAAGTTCAATTGATAAATAGTTAAGTAAAAATGTTCACAATACAAACTCATACAAGTAAAAGGTCTATTAGACCATTTTGTCTTTTTTTTTTTTTTTTATCACACACTTTCTTAGTGGGTTTCCAAGTCATTTTTCTTTATATCTTTATTTGATTTTTCAATACCAATACAGAATTCATGCAAAAGTTATTATCCAATTAGCTAAATCCGCCCCCGGAAGTCACGTACCATTTGTTGATGAGAAATATAATTTAATAGTAAGCATTTAAAAATAAATCAATTTTGTACACCAGAGGCAGAGGCAGAGGCAGTGTAAGATTTGACTTCCTTTTGTTATCAGCACACCTTTGACTCACTAAAAATAAAGAAGCCTTTTTAGTTAGCTCAACAACAGAGAAAATGTAGTTCCTTGGCTTACCAACATTGAATTAGCTGACTAAAACATAGTATGATTTAATTTAATTTTCAGCTATAAAAGTGCTAAAGGCACTAACGTCATTGCCAAAAAAAAAAGAAAAGAACATTAGCATTTGATATCAAAATGGAGTCAATTGCACATCCACTTGTATCCATTATCTCTGAGAAGCTCATCAAGCCATCTTCTCCAACTTGTCCTACTAAAAGATGGCACAAACTTTCTTTAATTGATCAAGCTTTCAGCAACTCTTACATTCCATTTTCCCTTTTCTACACCAAAGATGCTATCTCAAAGAACAATACTCAAATATCTCAACTTCTTGAGGAATCTTTATCCAAAATACTGTCCATTTATTATCCATATGCCGGAAGGCTTAAAGATAATACTACAGTTGATTGTAATGACGCGGGGGCTGAATTTGTTCAAGTTCGAATTGATTGCCTCATATCAGAAACTTTTAACTGGCATAATACAGCTATTGAAGATTTGTTATTCCCTCAAGGTTTGCCTTGGTCAAATTGCACAACCGGTGGTCTAGTTGTAGTTCAACTCACCTATTTTAATTGTGGAGGAATAGCTATAAGTATGTGTATATCACATAAGATTGGAGATGGATGCAGTGGTTACAATCTTTTTCGTGATTGGTCTGAGATAACTTCCGATCCAAATAATTTCTCGATACCATCTCTCCACTACGTTGAACAATCTGTTTTTCCTCCACCTTCAAGTGGTCCTTTTCTATCCCCATTATTCATGTCAAACAAACATGATTGTGTCCAAAGAAGGTACATTTTCTCTAATGAGAAATTACTAAACCTTAAGAACACGGTTGCTGCTGAATCAGAGGTGCAAAATCCGACACGCACTGAAGTTGTGAGTGCACTTATCTTTAAATGTGCTGTAAGAGCAGCAAAGGCAAAGTCAGGGATTTTCCAACCATCATCAATGGTTCAAGCAGTTGATTTGCGAGCACAAGTTGGTTTGCCTCCAAATGCTATTGGAAATCTTCTTACCATATGTCCAACATCAATAACTAATAACGAAGAAAGTATGACAATATCAAAATTGGTCAGTGAAATGAGGAAATCAAAAGAGCTAGTTTACAAAAGAGATAACATCAATGACAACATGTTTGTGGCCTTGCTACTCGAACTAGCAAAATCGAAACAGGAATATCATGACAATGGTCCTAATGCGTATCAAATTACTAGTTTGGTGAAATTTGCTCTTCATGAAATCGATTTTGGATGGGGGAAGCCTACTAAGGTGAGTATAGCAAATGGACTAAATAACAAGTTGGCTATCTTGATGGGTAACCAAAGTGGTGGACTCGATGCATTTGTGACGCTTACAGAACATGATATGTCTGTATTTGAACGTGACACTGAGCTTCTTGAATTTGCTTCTATAGTTCCAAGCTGTTAGATGTTTTACATATATTTTGTGTGTTGAATATGTTTTTTGAATGTTGATTATGTTTCTGATGATGACAAATAAAATATGCTTGTATTAAGTTGTACGTCAATGTATTTTTATTCAGAATTTTTGTGGAATAAGCAAGGATATTGGAAATGTTTTATTGCTCAATTATTATGAGCTCCACCTGATGAATTATTGGGTTATTAGTTCGATATTGAGCTTTCATTTATAGGGACATAGCACAAAGAGTCGAGAAGATCCTGATTTGATTAAAGAAAAACAAAATAGATCGATTTGATTGCTAGTCATCAAAAAACTATTCTATAATTTATAAATAGAGTCCAGCAACGACTTGGAAGCTCAGACATTTTTAGCAACATAATTATTTCGCTGATTTCCAACAATTGAAATTACAACGATTGAAATTTAAACATATTTGAACCACATAATTTATAAGGGAAACAACTAAAACATGATATAAACCCATTTGATAACACTTTGAACTAAGCTCAAATGCCAAATGCATGAATGAAACACACATTATTTTCCTAAATTGATACACTTCACTTTTTAGGACACTTATTATCTTATTAAAAGTACTGGATCCTCAGATAAACACCCCTACAAGTCACAAAAAAGGAACCATCATTATCAATTGAACATGTACTTCCACTTTGTACGGTAATAGTTTCCTGTCTAAAATGGACTAGTGATGGGCGGCACACAAAAACGAGTAACATACGCAAAGTTGTAGTGAAGTGATAATTATTACTTAATTTTTTAATTAAAGTTTTTGTGTTTAACTTCTCCTTAGGGGTGGGTATAAACATCGAAAAACCGAAAAACCGAACCGAACCGAATTATTTTGGTAATTCGGTTTCGGTATTTCGGTTTTCGGTTCGGTATTCGGTATATGGTTTTGTATTTTTCGGTATTTCGGTTCGATTTTCGATATGTAATTTTTGTGTAATTTGGTATTTCGGTATTTCGGTTTACCGAAATATATTAAATTATAATATATATTAATATTATATTAATTATTAATATTTAAAAATAAATATTATAATTTAAAATTAAAAACAAAAGTTTGTCTTTTCAAACTTTTCAACTTTACAAACCCACTTCCCAAAAGGCAAAAATTACCGTTCCCACTTCCCACGTCTAGTCGTCTACAGACTATAGCAGCGTCGACCGTTCCGGCGACCAGCAGCACGCGGCAACTGCCAATCGACCAGCAGGCAGCCATAGCACAACAACGACCGGTAAATTTCAATGTTATAACAAGGCTAAATTTCAATGTTAACGACAATTTAATATTTTGAATCATACAATAATTTGAAAAACAAAGTAAAATAAGCAAAAAGAAATAAACATAAATAAAATAAACAAAAAAATTACAAAATTTAAAAAATCCCACTAAGCATTCCCATAACAAAAAACCGAATTAACAAAAACCGAACCGAAATAATAAAAACCGAATCGAAAGACCGAATGCCCAACCCTACTTCTCCTAGGTATAGACTCACCTTTGTTAGGAAACTATTTACCCCCAATATGAGACTTTTCGATGCGAATTCAAATTTTATAGAACTTCAATATGAATACCAGAAACTTGACGGGAAATAAAAAAAGATGGAGGAAAAGTTTAACGAGGATCAATATGTAGTCACCCATTCAAAAATATTTAGTTGCATATTAATGCAATAGACTAGCCGACACTTTAGCCTCTCATTTTACTTTTTTCATGTGCAATCCTTTCCATTAAGATAGAGCTCAACGAATTATTCATTAGTACTAGTGAAACTTCAGTAAATTGTGTTGAAATTCTACCATTTTCCAAGCTTTAAACTAAATACTGTTTAGAAATTTTGAAACTCTAACATAGTGTTATACGTTTAGTTAGTTGAAAACATTTCTGAACGACAAGCTAATTTCCAACAAAACGTCCTTGAAAATTCACATTTTCTTAGTAGTGTTTGAATACTTATATCATCACTAAAATTATAACTTACTTACATCGTATACCACTTAATTATAAGTTCTAATTTAACCAAAAAGCCCTTAATTGCACTTAGCTCTTCCATCTTAATTAATTCTCTACCAACAACTCCAATTGTCGCATTCACCACACTCAAATTATTGTTATGTGCTAAAAGTTATACCCATTTTACTAGGCACTATAAAGTCTGCATGAATCTGCTACGCACAGAAGACGTCATTCGCGCGACCACGCGGTAAGGTCAGTGCTACTACCACGATTGTGCGAACAGCCACGTGACCTAGGCTCCAGCTGTTGGGCTGTGCACGTTCTTCAAAAAAATATTTTTCTTTTCTTTTCACGTTCTAGGAGGAGTGTTTTTGTTCTTTCCTCATCCCATAACCCTATTTCATGAGTATTAACTTTCCTTTAAAGTCAAATACAATCAGATTTCATAAGTTACGGCAAACTCTCTCCTCTTTTTTCACAAACACTTCAAATAACAAGATCAACAAGAATTCTAGAGATCACAATCACGATTCTTCCTTAAACTTCAAAATAAATGTATATAGAACTTCAATGAAGAATTTCTTTCATCCTAATTTCCAAAACTCCTCATTTTTTATCAATTTATTTCTATAGTTAGGGACAAGGGCAACTGATCTGGTTTCGGGAAAAATGGTGAGCGACACATTGAGTTGGCAGCTCACCAAACTCATTTGGTGAGCTTGAGCTCACCGAAAGTGACAAAAAACTGTAGGCAACAATTCTCAATTAGAGGGTGAGCTAGGGCTGACACGGTGAGTCGCCGAATCAACTTGGTGAGCTTGAATGAGCTCGCCGAACAAGTATTTTGCAGCCCTTCATAACCCAAATTTCAAAACTCGACTCAACAACAAACAACGATCAATTATAAAAATATTTTTCACATGATTCAAGGTCACCCAAAGTACCCGGGAGAGTTGGCAAAATAGCCACCTTAAAGACTTAATGTGACATTAAGTCACAATTCTTGAATAATTTGTGGTATACCCACTATTAATGACATCGTCCACATGCCCTAATTGGCACATACAAAAGACCTCCCTAAGTTTCATATCTCCACTTTGGTCCCCCCCCCCTTCTTTTTCAACTAATTTGGAATAATATATATCTATTTGCATTTGTTAAAAATTATATTATAAAAAAATAAAAAAGCCAAACGAGAAAGAAGAGCAGCTCATTTTTGCTGCTGTCGAAACTGATGATTCCGACGAGTTTTTCGGCCAAAATATCCATTTTTAAGGTTAAATCATCATCATCTCCTACTCCATTTTCATTTTTACTCCATTTTCTTTCAAAAACCAGGCTTTAAAATAATTTCCCCGCCATTTTAGAAATTTGAGAAATCTTCCATAATCATTTGATAAGTCATTAGTAGATACATTTGTTTAGTTTAAAAGCATTAAAAAAATGTTTCGCCATTGCAGGAGTTGAATTTTGTACCCTGATCTCATCCAATCGCATGTTTGTACGGATTTCGTACCTCATAGACGGATATAGTAATCTAGTATCGATATTTGTAGTCTATAATGGCAGTAGATGAATTCTTTATTGTTGGTGGAGATTATATGGGAGTATGGGAAGAGAGACTCCAAAAAGCTGAAATTGGAAATCTTTTAGTAGGACGACAATGCCCATTGCGTTGCGTCGCAATGATTCATATGACGATATGATTGCAAGCGTGATTGAGGCCGGTGAGCTTGCGAGCCAAATGACTTGGTGATTAGCTAGCAAATGAATGGGAGGGGAAAAATACATCTCACATTCATAAAAAATGATCGGCACTTTAGCTTGTACATGTTAGATATTTTTATTGATGGCTCTAGTCCTACATTGAGGATACACGTCAATGCTAGGTCTCCAATTGAACCAACACATTCATTTGACGATGAAAATGATACTTTGGAAATGAAAGATTGGGTAATCATTCAAAGGAGAGCTTGGATGATCATTCAAATGAGAGTTTGGGTGATCATTCAATGAATATACATAATGATCCAACTAATGTGGAAAATCAGTCAGTAGATATGAAAGATCCCGAACGCGAATGTTGTGAAGAAATATAGAGAGAACATGAATTGAGATCACAATCCAACCATTCCTTCTCCGATGGAACTAATTTATGCATAAATCAAACTTTCAATAACAAGAATGAGTTGCAATTGTTATAAGCCGAAGCGACGGCAAAAAAGTCTTTTGATTTTGCAACTTTGAGGAGTTGTACTAAATATTTAAAGGTGAAATGTGTATCTCAGAATTGTGCATGGATGTTGCGGGCGAGAAAAATATGAGTGTTCGAATAGATTTCGTATCTACAAGTACATTGACGAGCATAGTTGTGGTGTTGAACATGCCAACAGTAGCCATAGAAAAATCTCAATCAAAGTCATTGCTTCACTTTGTGTAAATATGTATCGTGATGGCAAGGGTCCAAATGTTAAAGAGATTCAAAGGGCTATGTTTAATTCTTTTCGTTTGTAGTCCAAGTTATTGGAAATGTTGGAAGGGAGGTGTGGTTGCCAAGGAAATGGTCTGAGGGTCAGTGGAGAGCGGATATTCATGCTTACTGGCTTTTTCATACATGTTCGAGACATTTAATGTTGGTTCTAGCTATTCTATCATGGTAAACAAGGATAGTCATAGGTTCATGTATTATTTCTTGGCCTTTGGTGCTTGCATTAAGGGATTTTCCCACATGAGAAAGGTAATTGCGGTTGATGGCACTCATTTACATGGTAAATACGAGGGCATGTTGTTGTGTTGTTGCACAAGATATGGAGAATCATGTTTATCCAATTGCTTTTTGTGCCGTGGACAAAGACAATGATGTATCTTGGACATTCTTCTTTGAGAAATTGAAGGAGATAGTGGTCGATGAACCAAATTTATGTTTTATCTCCAATAGACACAAGAGCATCGCCAACGACATTGTGAACGTTTACAATCATTCTCACCACGGATATTGTATGAGGTACCTTGGTGAAAATCTCCGCATAAATCATCATTGTGGAGATTACCTTTATCTTTACTACAATGCAGCAAAGGCTTATTCTTTGGAAGAGTTTGACAATCATTTTGTCGAATTCAAGAACAAATATCCCGCGGCAGCCGTCGTCTTTGAGTATGATATAGGTTTTGAGAAGTGGAGTAGGGCACATTTTCCTGGCAATAGATATGATGTGATGACCACAAATATCGCCGAGTCACTCAATGCTATGTTCATAGAAGAAAGGGAATATCTCGTGGCATCAATATTTAATTTGATTGCTAATAGGTTTGGAGAATTGTTCAGGGAGAGGCATGCATATATCTTTAAATTAATGGGTAATCAAATGGTGCCTTTTGCCGAAAAAATCGCAAGAAAGAAAATGATCGAGGGCGACTCCTTATATGTAGAGAACGTAACAAGGGACGACAATCAATTTACCATGTTAGGTGTAGGTGTTACTGCCTATGTGGACCTATTGGAAAAGTCATGTTCTTGTAGGGAATATGACTTGATCAAGATACCTTGTGCTCACGCAATGGCCGCTTTGCGATCGAAGCATGGCAACGAGTATGGTATGAGCATTTATGAGTACTGTTCGCCTTTGTATAAAGTCGAAGCGTACCTCCTTGAATACTTAAATTCTATTAATGTTGTCCCTCTCGAGTCGGAATGGTGTGTGCTAGAAGAATTGCTTAATGTGAAGATTCTTCCGCCTCTTGTCGATACCAAGCTTGGAAGAAAACGAAGAGAACATGTCAAATGTGTCGGTGAGAATTTCAAAAGCAAGAGAAGGAAAAAATGTTCAATTTGCAAGAGAACCGGACACACGAGAACCACATGTGTGAACAACAACAAATCTTAATTTAGCTTGGTTGAATTTGTTGATTAAATTTGTTTTTGTAATCAAGCTACTATTTTTTTTTGCTGCCAACATTTTTGTAATACCCCATAACTTGAAATACATTTGCGACTCGTAAACACCAATGCATAGATGTGATATCGGGGGAGGTATATCATTGCAAATGGTTAAGCATACCATGTAACCCTTATATTTAGTCATTTGAAGGGTTAAACAAAAGTTTTAGGTCAAAGAGATCATTAAAGAAAAGATTAAAGCTTAAAGGTTCATTGTGGAGGAATACTACAAATGATCTCATTTCTCATCTGACTTTGAACGAGCATATCTCCTCATATATAACGAGTTAGAAGGCCTACTACCTATCCAATTGAAGGTATTTGAGTCTAGTTTCCAACAAAATAAACCGCTCGTTAAAACGATATCAGAGTAAAAAGTTATGTTCATTCTACGACAAACACGTGCACTGCCCAATCACTGCAAGACCTGTGGCACTTTAGAGAAAGTCGACCAAACTTGTTGTTTTTATATTAGAAGTTTGGAATATACTTTCTCATATATTCAAGAACGTGTGAGGATTGATTTCAACTTATTTCTTCAAGTTTTTCTCATCTTCAATCCACCAAAGCTTAGGGTAAGTTAGTTTCTTCAAGAATCAAGTGTCTTCCTCTCCATAGACCTATAGATATACTTAGCTAAATGTTTTCTTAAAGGAAAAAGTATTGTTCTTGGAGAATAAAGAAGGGCAGGGGCTACTTTTCTTTGATATATAGGTATGAATCCTCTTCTATCTTCATAAATAGTATTCCAAGGATGCTTTAAGTATAATTTATGGGTAGGACTCATGGACGGTAATAGGAAGCCGTGAGTCTATCTTTTACCCATTGTATTTGATGTTTTGGTGAGGAGGGAGTTTGTAGAAGGTTGTGTTGGCTGTTGTTTTGACCAAATGAGGGGTCAATGGTATTGTATTGGGGAAGTAAGCTGATTACATTAAAATGGAAGGCGAGGTATAGAGAACGCGACTATTATAGTTCTTGAAACTTTGTCGTTCACCAAATGTTTGATGAAATTCCTAAGTCGCTAGGAATATGCTGTAGCTGGTTATATGAGCTCCTATTATTTTAATTTATTGCATTAGTTCTCTACCAACTTAAACTATGAGCTTATAAAGGAATTTTACATCGTTAACAAGGAACCGGTGGGATGGTAATCGGAGGCCTTGAGTTTTACTTTTATGTTAAGTGTGAATGATTAAGGGGGCTGGTTCTTTATGGTTAAAGGATGAGGAGTAATACTGAACATGTAAATAAGTCATAAGCCTACTTGGAAAGTAGATAAAGAGAAGGGTGTGGTGATACACCACTCATCTATGATAATTGTTGAGATTGTCGCTCGCGAACCATTATTGTGATTTTGGCATTGTTGTGACTCTTGATTAGTTTCTTGTACTATCCTTTTATGATTTTATGTTATAGATAAAGTTTTCAGCAAAGGAGTTTGACGATGTAAGTTAGTAAGTCCCGAATTAAGGTTTGTAAAGCTAAAACCTCTTTTGCCCTTAAGGCACGACCTAAACTCGCTTGTTCTTCCGATAAATGTCAATATAGATTCTATGATACTTGAAAGAAAGTTATCCTATTTTATAAACCCTCTCATGTTGAGTCCTAAACCTATAGAGTTATAGTACTCTTCAAGGAAGCGATATGTTTCACACAACTGCATTTGTCTACAGTTGGAACTCTTAGAAGTTAGCGGTGTACATGTTGCATAAATTTAAAGAAAGCAACCAGCCATAGATTGTTCGTAAGTGCATAAGTCACAAGATATATGATTCTCAAGCTAAAGAATGTAATCACGAATTGTATCACGAGCTATGTGATTAACGAATTAATTATTATAAAAAATTGCAAGCAGTTGAGATTATAGACTACTCTGCAGAGCGTAGGGTGGGTATATTTAGGGCAACTACGTGCGACGCTACTCTGTGCACATAATTCAGATATAGTCAGCTGGAATTTCCCGTCGTGGATTCACCTGACTGATACAAGCCTGCGGGCAGACCATATAGGAGCCCTGGGGAGCGTACCTTGATAGACCTCGTTACCAGACTATGAGATTTCATGTGTGGTCATGACAGTGGGCTACAAATGCCATACAAGGTTCACTAATCACCGCCAGTAGGCCATCATGTGATTCCCTGACAATTAGCTTTACAAAGAGCAAAGAAGCGATATAATGAAGTAAAGATATCACTTAGGCAAATTATAGGGATTATGTATATATAAATGACTAAGACATGAAACGTTCGATGAGGACCCTTGAGGTTGGTCACAATTCCAGTTACGGATTATGTCTCCTACATACGCATGCTCAAATTTGCCTATCATGATATTTGATGTCTACTTGTTATTCAGTTTGCTTTACATACCAGTACATGTTTTATATGTACTGACGGCCCTATTATTTTGGCGTTTCATTTGTATCACTACAAGCTCAGGTGCTCAGGACAACAAGCATTTTCAGTAGACTAGAGACTTGCAATTTAATAGTTGGTAAGCTCCACCTCTACCTAGAGCTATCAGATATTTAGAGCCTATATTTTGCTACGTATGTACATATATCAGAATGGGTATGTCGGGGCCCTATCCCGACTAGTTATCAGATTCTCAGAGGCATACTCTTTAGAGGCTTCGTAAACTTAGTCTTGCTTCCGTTGTAAAGTAGCCCAACGGGACCTTTTGTTATCTATGTTTTAGTATGTGTCTTCATATAGGTTCCGCTTCTTATGAATCTTCAGCTTTGGCATGAGATTAGTAAGAAATTTAGCAGGTGCTTGTGTATATCCTTGATGTCTGCCCCTTTCTAGTTAGGGGTGTGACAATTTCGGTCAATTGCTATTATCGTAATTACTCATGATCTAATATAGATCAATCAAAAGATGACATACATTTTGCACACTGTCTATTAATATTTATTATCGAGTCCACTCATTGTGTATTAAGTTGTGTATTATTAATATATGAAAATTATTAATAGATAAAAAATCATGGTATTCGTAATGCAATGATTTTAATGCATGAATTAGAGTATGATTTTAATGCAATGATCTAAGTATAACTAATACAATCATTATTTGCATATACACTCTATCAAACGAATCCTAAAAGAATTGTCAAAAAATCAGATGTTACCATTGTAAAATTTGTATATGTAAATATTTACTGGTTATCAATATATATAGACCCTTTATACAATCGATGCATCTCTATGTGCTTGGTGTATGAATGACCAATGAGATTTACACTCTGACATTAGTAAGGTATATTTGGGTTTATATCTATTTTAAAGCATAGTCGATACTTTGCCTACTAGAATCTAGCACTTATATGTAGACCAAAACTAGTAGAATTTAGAAAAGACAAAAATTATTAATAATAAATTATATTTTTGAAATTTATCAAATTAAATGAGCTTAAACAAGTTATATGATCGTGTAAGAGTCCACATAAATTGGGTGTTGTGATTAGAGATGTATGAGGAAGAGTTGTGGTTATACAATCAACATCCTTAGAACACTGTTTGAAAAAGCATAAGTATGTTGTGAGGATATAACTTGTTTAACCACACATTGTTGATTGCAACCCCAATTTATGTAGACTCATACATGATCACATAACAACTTACATCCTTACATCATACTTATGCTTTCTCAAACATTGTTATAAGGATGTTGATTGTATAACCACAACTCTTCCTCATACATCTCTAATCACCACACCCAATTTATGTGGACTCTTACATGATCATATGACTTGTTTAAACTGATTTGATTTGATAAACTTCAAAAATATAATTTATTATTTGTTGTCTTTTCTAAATTCTACTAGTTTTGGTCTACATATAAGTGTCAGATTCTAGTAGGTGAAATATCGACAATGCTTTAAAATAGATATAAACTTGAATATACCTTATTAATGTCAGAGTGTAAATCTCATTGGTCATTAATACACCAAGCACATAGAGATGCATCGATTGTATAAAGGGTCTATATATTTTGATAACCAGTAAATATTTACATATACAAATTTTACAACGGTAAAAAAAGTTCAAATTGCACTTTTTCAACGATAACATCTGGTTATTTTTTAGTATAAAAGGAAAGCAATCCCTCATAAACAACTCAAACACCTCAATTTTTACAATGTCTCAAACATCTCAAACATCCAAAGAAAAAAAGTCTTACAATTGTCATTGTGGTAATCCAGCTACGTTCAGGACGTCACACACCGATACAAATCCAGGTCGACAATTCTTTAATTGTGCAGTTGGCGTATGCTCATTTTTTTGGTGGCTTGAAAATGAATCATCAACGAGTAGCCCATAAAATTTTCAAGGCATTGCCAAATTTGAATTATTAACAAAGCTATGGGAATCTGAAGAAAATAGGGATCTGCTAATGACTTTCTTAAAAGAAGCCGAAGAGCAGAGGAATCACTTGAAAGTGTTGCTAAAAGATACTGAAAGAGATAGAGATCAACTAAAAGAAAAGTTGATTTTGGCAGAAGAAAAAGAAAAACGCCTAAAAACTGTATTGTGTGGTTTATTTTTGGTGTTTGCTTTTTGGAAATGTGTAACATGAATGTAGTCTGAATAAATGAAAGTATTTCTCTCTATTTATTACACTCTTATATCTTTTATTTTTTATCGATAATGTTATAAATCAACAATGATAGCAATCTATAGTATTAAACGTACAACTTTATTATAGATAATTGACTGCTAAATAATTTTACTCCATAACGGTAAGAAACTAAAGTTAAGCAAAAATCACATACTATTAAAATATAGATTCATAAAACCCCTTCATCATAAAACATGTTAAATTGTTTCTCAAAACTACCATTAACCATATACAAAAACATCTATAATCTTTCAGATGTACATTTTTCTTCTCAAAACAACAAAACAACAAAACAACAAAACCAATTCAACCATTGTATTAA